AAAGGAGTGTGTGTGTGTGTGTGTGTGTGTGTGTGTGCAAGGATTTTGGACACTATGCTGGGCCACTTTGATCATGTTATGCCTGACCTATATACATATCCAGGCCATTTTAAATACTTTTTTACTTGCAGAACATACAGAAACTGCTTTTTCAATGGATTAGTTTTAGATTTTTTTTTTTTTTTTAGAATTTAATTTTTGCTTTAGTTTGTTAAATACTGTATAATAACCCTCATAGACACTTGCAAAAAAAGCTTTTTGGAGATGATTAAAATGCATTTAATCTATCTGCTAAATTATTGTTTTATTTTTCATATTTTAATATCTAAAGTCTCAAATACATGTGCAACAATATTAGCAGTGCCAAAAAGCTTGGTGAGACCATCTGAAACCACAGAAATCTGAATAACCACAAAGTTCCCCAGAGTAAACGTTTAAGCGTCTGAAGCTCAGCGTTCCTGTAAATAATCCGCCGATGTGGCAGTGATTCTGGAGTTTGCGGCTGGTGTTTTTATGCTGTCGTCTGGACTGAGGATGAGTCAGGCCTTTGTCTGTGTTCACTGAGGGCCGCAGGGGGAAGGGAAACACACACATAAAGCAGGGCCGACCCCGACGGGGCCTCAGGCCATCAGTGCAGGATTACACATGCTAATGGGCTCCTACACACACACACACACACCTGGAGGGGTCGGGTGGGCCGCTGGAGCCCAGGTGAGTTCTTTACAGCGACCACAAGACGTAGTTGAGCACTTAACTCTTTCCCCGCCAAACATGGAATTTCCCGTGTTTTCACGCTAGGGGGCGCTATCACGCAGCTCCTGAATGAGTCTAGAAACTCGATCAAAAACACAGGTGGTGAAGACGCAGAAACCAGCGATCTCATATGTAAGCATATGCATATGAAAAGTCATTTGCCAATGATTTCGAAACGATTCGTTCCAAGCAAGTTCGGAGCAAACCCCTCCCTTCCATAAGCCTACTCTGCTCTGATTGGTCAGCTGGCCAAGCCTGCTGTGATTGGCACACAGAGGAATCCTTGAGCCAGTTAGCGAGCGCTACCATTGGCAAATTACATAAAACAATAATATAGTGCTCCAATCCGTTCTTATAATAATGACATAAAATACAAAAACACTTATGCAAGCGAATCGTGCCCACAGCTAAAGTTTAGCTGCTAAACTGTGAACACTTAAAACAATAATGGTGGATATGTTAGCCGAGTGCTAACGTGACTAACTGATGAAACGATACAGTTTGTAAACCAAAATATGTCTACTGTAATGTTTGAAGAACGACAGACAAAAGACACTCCATCTTAACTTTTAATCAGAACGCAGAACAGCTGTATCACAGACGCAGCATTCTCTCCAGCATTAACCCTATAGCTGCCGGTGCAGCAAAATAAACAACAGCTTCACAATGATTATAAAGTCTGTGCGCTACACTACATTCTTTATTATTAAACGAAGTAATTATTAGAACGTCAGTCTACATTAATCGACACATTCCTAGGAAATAGTGGGTTCACAGCGAATTATCAGAACTACTTCAGTAAGACAGTAATATCGTGCTTTACCTGGAAACCTAAAGCTGCTCTAGGTGTACATCACATATTAGCACAAAAACTTTTTGAGCACTCAGTTGAAAATGTACACATAACGTATCAATGGTACTTACAGGTTGTGCTTCGGAGAACTTGTTAGTCCAAATTAAGAAGATAGAAGAAGCCAACGAAGATAAAAGCCAAGATTAGAAAAGCAGTCCTTGGTAAAATGACATGCACACAACAAAAGGTTCGAATTGTATTTCTGTGGTATCCTTGAACACAGCGTCTTCTCAACATGATGTAAACACACTAAGTAGCGGAAGTGTTTGTGGGTAGGTCAGACTCGTGGGCAGGCGAGATTATGCAAATGTGTTACCCAGTGACGTATACCAGTAACAGGCAAAAGATTCGAAAACGTGACGACTCGTTAAGGCGATTCAGAATCGACTCTCTCTTTTGAGAGACAATATCTTTATTTATCATGCACTTTTTTGATTAACAACTTTGCAGATTGTTTTCATTTAAGGATAGCTATGTTATAAACTGCAAAAGAGAATTTGAAAATTTGAAAATTTTTCAAAAACCCATATGACCTGCTCTTTTAAACGCTAGGGGGCGCTATTACGCATCTCCTGAATGAGTCTAGAAAGTGCTGATCAAAAACACAGACGAGGAAGACGCAGAAACGAGCGATCTCATATGTAAGCCTATGCATGTGAAAAATAATGCGATCATCAACACTAACGGCATATAAATGAAAATGCCAAATGTTAGCGAGTGAAATGTGGATCCAGAAAGTGTTAAAGCTTTGGGAGTGCTGATGGAAGCCATCTGCTGCATCTTTGCTTTTTATAATATTACTGAATATGATCCAGATGTACAGTAGTATTTGATAAAAATGCGATTTTCTCAGCTTTTTGCTCAAAATGTTGCTTTTTTATGAAACCTACCTAAGTGTTGATAAAAAAATAAAATAAAATGCTTGAAGCTAGAATAAAACAGATTTTTTTTGTTTGAAAGTAGATCTGATAGTTATTTTGATGTATTGCATGTTCAGATATTCATACAATAAAATATTCTGGGGGCCATGACATTTTAGTGAAAATCAGCAAAAACGCTGGCGGGGAAAGAGTTAATGCCTGAACGTTATTCATCAAATGAAATTGAAGTGAAAAAAAAGATGCACAAACATACTTTTACAATCAAATCATTTGACAAAAAGATGTTTGATCTGTTTGAAAGGCTAAAACAGTAGATGTAGTGTTGAACATGAAGACAATTTTGTGGTTATTCACACGCTTGTGGTATAAGATGGTAAACTCTTGTTTTTTTTTTTGGCATCACTAATGTTGCATATGTATTTGAGACTATAAAGATTAAAATGTGATGAAATGTTAATGTGAGTGTGTGAGTGTGAGTAGTGCTGGGCGGTACACCGGTTCATACCGAATACCGGTGTTTATTTTTGTTATGATATGAATTTTTAAAATACTGCAATACCGGTGTATGTCGCTTAAACAACGTTCGGAACGCGACACTGTTTGAAAGAAGTCCCTTTTCACTGTTGCACTGTGGTGAGGGAACAGCTGTATGTATTACTAAGCGTGAAAGTTCAGAAACTGAAACTGAAGAACTAATAGAACGTGATGACACAGAAGAACTCATCCACAATATCCACACTGACCGCCACAAATATCCACCGCCCCTGCCATCAGCTCCCGCGTCTCACACACACGTGTGTCTGTGTGTGTCTGTGTGTGTCTGTGTGTGTGTCTGTGTGTGTGTGTGAGTGTGTGTGTGTCTGTGTGAGTGTGAGTGTGAGTGTGTGTGAGTGTGAGTGTGTGTGTCTGTGTGAGTGTGTGTGTGTGTGTGTGTGTCTGTGTGTGTGTGAGGACCAACACAGCTGTTGAAGGTCCTCCTGAGGTGTTTGGACAGCAGACGGTGTGTTTTTATGCTGTCTGGGGGGCCACAGGCGATAACGGGCCCCAAATGGCTGTTTGACTTGTGTTTGTTTGGTCAGGTTGTGTTAACAGGATCACGAGACAGCTGATTTCCTCTGATGTGAATCTGGTGGGATTTTACTCATCAAAAAAGATAAAATAGTAACTATGAGTAGGAATGATGTGTTTTATCTGAAAGTCATTCAGTCTGTTGCTGTTTAAATTATTATCCAGACGCCCTTGAGTATGTCCAGACGACACAGTGTGTTATTTTGTCACAGAAAACAATGATTATTTTGTCTAATGTGAAGTTTAGACTCCCCAACGTTTTTGTCAGTCGAACCCCTTTGACATAAAATATTTACTTGAAGTACCAGGGTTATAATAGTTGACTAAAACTAAAACCGTAAAAGCATTTTCATCACTTGAAATAAAGTAAATGTTAACTAAAATAATAAAATAAAATGTTAAAAAATGAAACGCTTTTTATTTCAACTAGTTGCCAAAGTGACATTTCTCATTTTCATTTAATTTAACTAAACTAAAATGAATAAAATAGTAAAAATGACAAAAACACTACAGCAAAATTACCAAAACTTAACTAAAATTAAAATGAATGACCGATTTAAAATGAGCAAATCTATAATACACGCTTAAAAATAAAGGTGCTTCACAGCGATGCCGTAGAAGAACCATTTTTGGTTCCACAAAGAACCATTCAATCAAAGGTTCTTTAAAGAACCGTCTCTTTCTTACCTTCTTATAATCTGAAGAACCTTCTTTCGCCACAAAGAAGCTTTATTGAAACAGAAAGGTTCTTCAGATGTTAAAGGTTCTTTATGGAACCATTCAGACAAAAAGGTTCTTCTGTGGCATCACTGTGACACACCTTTATTTTTAAGAGTGTAGTGTCTGAATGATAATAAAATAACACTGTGAAGGTCAGATTTTTCTCATTGTGCTTGCACTCATAAATACACCACATTATGTAGGTAAATGATTAGTGAACAATTTCATGTTGACTTTAAACCTCAGTCAAGAAATCAACATAGAGATCTACTTCTGCCCTTATTAAAATCCAGCAGTTGTTGTTGTTTTGCCTAGCAACCATCCCATAATTCTGCAGTCGTGTAACCTGTGATTATCACCGCTGTATGAAAGTACTTCAGCATGTCAGTGAATGTTGCTCTGATCTTCAGTGGAACATCAGCCTGTAATCCGTCATTTCCATTCATTTCTGTCCGCTGGTGTCTTCGCTCGCTCTTCAATGCGGGGATTCCGGAAATCTCATGAACGCAGATCAAATGCATGAGGATGAAGTCTGTCATTACGTTCAGAGATGTGTGTTTGTGTGTGTCCTCGTCTGTACATCGCTAAGCGTCCAGTAAACACAGACAAACACACACATCAGAGTTAGAAAAGACCACCAGAAGAGACTATCATGATGCACTTACTTCATTTATTTTTATTTTAGTGTTGTTTTTATACTATTATGGTTTTTATTCATATTTAAAATGTATTTTTAGTTTTCATTTTATATTTATTTACATTTTTAGCCATTTTGTGATTTTGCTGTTTTTATTAGTTTGTGTTTGTGTTTTTTAAATTTCGGTATTAGTTATATTTCCTATGGAAGCTATTTCCATCACACACGCACACAAAAAAAATCATGCTTTCGTAAGTCATAATTGTGACGTGTTAAGTCAAAATTTTGAGATAAAAATGTCAAAATATGATATACTAAATCATAATTATGAGAAGTTGAAATTGACACACTAAGCCAGAATTGACTTAAAAACTCAAAATTATGACGTAACTTGAAATTATGACATACTAATTCATAATTATGAGAGAAAAACTTGAAATTGATGTACTAAACTGGCTTTAAAAGTCAAAACTGACATGAAAAGTTAGATTTATGAGATACTAAGTCAGAATTGTGATCAGAATTATGAGCCTATTGATCCTATATTATCATCCTAATCATAATTATGAGATGGAAGTCATTTGTTAAGTCAATTATGATCTTAGAATTATCTTAGAAGACTATCTCAAAATTGACTTTCTATCATAATTATGACTTTTTAAAAAAAAAATTTTACTTTTAAATTTAGACTTTTAAAGTCATAATAATAATAATGACTTAAGTCGAAATTATAACCAAAACTCAATTATGAGATTAAAAGTTGACATTTTTATCTCATAATTGGGTTTATCATAATTTAGACTTTTCAAGTAATTATGACTTTTTATCATAATTTCGATTTATTGATCATAATATCGTAATATTGAAAATTGATTTCTCTTTTATGCCAAAAATCATTAAGCGGCGAACTCTCCGCGGCCCGGGAACTGGGTTCTGGAGCGTTCTCTGGACGGAGTGGACTTCCAGCCGTGGCAGTACTACGCCATCAGCGACACCGAGTGTCTGACCCGATACAACATCACGCCCCGCCTCGGGCCGCCCACCTACAAGAGAGACGACGAGGTCATCTGCACATCCTACTACTCACGCCTGGTGCCGCTGGAGCACGGCGAGGTGAGCAGTGCATGATGGGTAACAGGTCACGCCGGGTCACAGTATCATTTATGCTAGTGTTTATTAATATTTCGATTGTAATAATTTTTTTTTTTATGTTTTCTTTTTTATTTTAGTTGAAGTTTTGGTAATTTCCTTGTGTTTTTGAAATTGTAATAGTTTTTGCTTTTTAGAAATGTCTAGTTTTCATTAATATTTTTCACTAGTTATGTTTTCCGTTTTTATTTTAATTTTACTTCATTTTTTAGTAGTTTTGTTATTTTTATTAATTTCTTATCAATATTTCCATGTAGTGTCTATGAAAATTAAGTAGTTTTTATTTTTACATTTTTAGTAATTTTGTTGCATTTTTGTTTTTTAGTTTTTAATTATTTAATTTCATTTTAAATAACTTTTTTTTTTTCAGTTTTAGTTATTTAAATACTTTAAAAATAATAAAAAAATGAGAAATGTTGCTTTGGCAATTATCTGAAATAAAATAACTTAGTGTTTTAATATTTAATTTTATTTAATTTAACTCAAATGTGTTTTATGGTTTTAGTTAACAATAATAGCCCTGGGTCACAGCTGGATCGGTTATAGTGTGACACTGCTCAGATAATATCATTTTAGCATGGTTTTTATGGTGTCAGAATGCTGGGAAGAGTTTGTATCATTTATTGGGTGATTCATCCATTTTGACACAATAGATGCAGTGACAGTCAGAAACAAATGTATCACATCTAGAGGTCATGAAGATCAAACTGGACTGTTGAATAAACAATAAAATGAAGACTTGCACTAGTTAGAAGAGCAAATTAAATGAATGGTGGCGGTGTCTCTCCTCAGATCCACACGTCTCTCATAAACGGCCGACCCAGCGCAGATGATCTGACCCCAGAGCTGCTGGAGTTCACCTCCGCTCGCTTCATCCGGCTGCGTCTGCAGAGGATCCGAACGCTCAACGCCGACCTCATGACCCTCAGCTACCGCGACCCCAAAGACGTGGACCCCATCGTCACCCGACGGGTACGGAGCACCGCTTTAAACCGGCTTTAGACTTTTATAGATGTAGTGTCATGTTCTCAGATGGTTGTACTATGAAATGATCACCAGGCTTACATTTATGTATTCGGCAGATGCTTTTATCCAAAGGGACTTGCATTGTGTTCAAGGTGTTCAGTTCATGCATTTCCTGGGAATCGAACCCATGGCCTTGGTGTTGCTTGCGTTATGTTGATCTGTTTGAGCTACAGAAATGCTCGTGTAACATGGTCTTTAAGTAATCATTTTAAGTATTTTATATATTTGTGTGTGTGAGTGTGTTTAAAATGTGTGAGTGTGTGTTTGTGTGTGTCTGTGTGTGTGTTTAAAGTGTGTGTGTGAGTGTAAGTGTGTGTGAGTGTGTGTGTGTGTCTGTGTTTGTTTAAAGTGAGTGTGTGTGTGTGTGTGTCTGTGTGTGTGTTTAAAGTGTGTGTGAGTGTAAGTGTGTGTGAGTGTGTGTGTGTGTCTGTGTTTGTTTAAAGTGAGTGTGTGTGTGTGTGTGTCTGTGTGTGTGTTTAAAGTGTGTGTGAGTGTAAGTGTGTGTGAGTGTGTGTGTGTGTGTGTGTCTGTGTGTGTGTGAAGTGTGTGTGAG